CCTGGATCCTAACCTTTGTATCAAAGCTAAATTACTCTGGAAACTAGTAAGAATTTGTGCCTCTGTTTTTGATTCAATAAACTGTATCAAATTAGTGCTCCAATTGCTCATTAACTGATCTCATTAATAAACAATACCATATTTAAAATATTAGATGAGTGTCAAGTATGAAGACAACTAAAAATAAATTTTCCATAAGTTGTACTGAAATATAGTCTAAAATATCCAAAAATAAGTGGAAAGTTAAAAGTTATATTAATTGCCTATTTCATATCTAGATATTTTGCCAAGGAAAAGAAGTATACCTCCATAAACACATACATATATGAATGTTCATATCATCTTTACTTGTTGCAAATTAGGTACAACCCAAATGTAATCAACAGGTAAATGGACAGCTATGTGAATATATTTTGCTGTGGCCAATAGCTGAAGAGGATACAGTTAGTATTTTTTTTTTTTAGTATTTGAAAGTCAAACTAAGAATGATATGATGAGGAAGGGAGGAGTCAGAGGAGACACAAGCTAGACACAAAGTGAGCAGGAGATGAACATGCCATGTTAATAAAGGTACTGCCACATTGAAGAGTGTAAATAAGGCATATGAGTTAACTTAAAATGTAACAGTTAGTTATCAATAAGCCTCAGTGGTTATTTAGAAGTGGCTGCCAGGATGGGAAAAGTCAGCCTACAGACAGACAAACTTTTATACACTCTTTCCACATACCAGTATTCATTGTTATTAAGAGAATACGCTATTTATACACATAATGCATGACTAATTCACATGATGACTTGTCAAGTGAAAAAATGCCAACATAAAGCATGTCTACGATATTATTCTATTTATATAAAACTACAAAATTTAGGCTGACCTATAGTGATATGAAGATTAGTGTTGTGGGAAGGATTTCAAAGGGGTAACAGGAAACAAAAATTGATAACTTCTTTATGGCAACTGTTTCACAAGCATATGCATACATCAATCAGCTTGGATGGATTGTAAACCTGAACTTGTGTGTTGTTTATTGCCTGTCAATTGTAGCTCCATAAAACTATTTACTTTTAAAAATCCACTCAGTCTTATCCAAGAAAGTGAAGGTAATTACTTTGGGTTTATATAATTACTTTTCTTGTTGAAGAAACTGAGCTCTGCGCTTTTGGGTAGTAGAAATTCAATTAGGAACTAAGTAGGTACAAATGTATTTAACACATGTCCTTTTGAGGGACAGTGTGCTTTCCCAGAAAAAAGGAAGAATGGTACATTTTAAAGTCGATAATACTGACAATAATTTTAAGCATGAGTATTTTAAAATAACTTAAAATAAATTCAACTATATTTGTTGCAAATAAATAGTTTTAAAAATTCCTAATAAATTGGTAACAACTAGAATACTTTAAGTTCAAATTAGACTTTAAATTTGAGACTCATTGTTTGCTGAAGATCTATGCTATACCGGGTTACAAATATAATTAAAATTAAAAACATCTGAGATTACACAGGTGCCACAAATAAGATTTGATGGGTTTTGCAAAAATAAAAAAGGGGACACAGAGTTTGATGGGTAGAGAAAGGTGATGGATCTGAGAGGGGTTGGAGGAAGAGAATGAATATGATCAAACTACACCATAGAAGATTCTCAAAGAGCTGATTAAAAAAAATAAACCTAGAAAAATGCACAGTGAAAACAACTTTATCAGCACTAGGGAGGATAAGGAATTCAACGCTAGCTTCAGCTTTAGAAAACCATACCTAAAAATACTCTTGAAAATGGCTTTATTGAGATAAAATTTACATAATATATATACAATTTGCCCATCAAAGCTCTATGTTTTATTATTTTATAATATTGACAAATATGTGCAACCATCATCATGATTTGATTCTAAAATTCTTTCTTTCTTTACTGTTTTTATTTTATCTACATGGATGCTTTGCTGGCATGCATCTATTTGAGGGTGTCAGATCCCCTGGAACTGGACTTACAAACAGTTATGAGCTGCCATGTAGGTGCTGGGAGTTGAACCTGGGTCCTCAGAGAGAGCAATCAATTCTCTTAACCACTGAGCCATCTCTCCAACCCACTCTAAAATACTTCTATTTTTTTAAAAAAAGAAGCCATAGTCTATGAAGTCCAGGATTTTCTTTTAGAATGTTGAAACTGTTCTTGCAGTAGATAATGGTAGTAGTTGTACAATATTATGAAGGTACAAAAAGCCCTATTGAACTGTCCATTTGAAAATGTGCACTTATGTTAACTTGAATTTGACTATATTTGCAAAAATGTTGCATTATGAAACATGACTGTAAGCACTCATACCATCCACCCACACCAGCCTTGGGCAGGCAGGAATCACATTTACAACTTTGAAGATTTGCCTAGTCTAGAAATTTCTTTTAAATGAAATCACACAATATGTGTTCTTTTGCCACTGGCTTATCTTCACAAATATTTTCAGTTTTGTTCATATTGTTAGTATATACCAGTGCTTCAAAACTTTTTATAAAAAATAATATCCCATATATATGGGATATTATTTTTCCATGTATCACATTTCATTTATTTATTCCTCCCTTGATAGATATTTAGGTTGTTTCCACCTTTGACTCATTATAATGTTTCTATCAACATTCATATACATATTTTATGTGGATATATGATTTCATTTGTGTTGGGTATATACCTAGGAGGGGGAGTGCTGTACCACCTAGTAGC